TAATTGTAGAAAAAAATAGGCGTATCACATTTTCGAATGAAAGAATTGTTAAAAATTAACTCGGTAAAATATATGCACAGTTCTAATTGAATGAAGCACCTGAAAGATGGTTTCAAAGATGGCAGAATCTTGAAGGCAACAACATATGATATAATACAATACAGCCAAATATAATAATACAGTACACTTCACTCATCTTAATGACGATCAACGTGATGAATCTTACATGTGAGAGTATAATGGATGGAAGGTTTATTAAAGTCGACGTTAATATCGAGCTAAAAAACGTAATAACAGAAGAATAGTATCGACTGTGCACAATCTAAAAAAAACATGTATGATATATAATGAATGTGAAAGGAAGATTTCAAATCGCCCGATCATAAAAGAATATTTGGTATCAATTACGACTAAGAAAAGATAACTCATCGTCAGACGTATTGTTGGTCATAACCTTAACAGACATACAAAAATGAAACTGATGCGATTAGAACAATAAAAGTACCCAAGTACCGACAAACAAACATATTGGATTAAACTGAATTGAAACTCACAAAGTGACTTTCACGTTCGATATGCAATAAGAATATTAAATGATTACGATGAACGATTTAAGACGAACGGAATCTTAGATGAATTAGTTAATTAATTGAAAAATGGTCACTTTGAAAGAGTGGAAATACGTTCGAATTATGAGGAAGTTTGGACTTGATCGACAGTATCTTCTTCAGGTTGTTCTTCATATTCAAGTGATGGAGATGGACTTCTCGATACCAACTCTCTTAGACGGCTTCCCATACTCTAAAACACTGAGTTATATTTTAACTAACGACATTACTGAAGCTTATTTAATAATATTCTTATATCATTACATTTGAAATCATCTCAATAAATATAATCGAAAGCTCATCAACTACTCATATTCAAACAGAAATCAAACACACGCTAACGCTGAATCCACCATCCTTATGGAAAGTCTCCAGGAATCCTCTAATGAAGTCATCCGATTTGTTTTTCCAGTTATGTATAAGTTCCAGACTCTTCTGTTTCAACTGATCAACTTGATTTTGCAACTGATATCGTCTCGCCTGCATTATTAATATTCGAATAAAATCTCCCGAGTATGACATCAACTTTAACAATTTAATATCATTACCGAAATTAAACACAACTGCAAACAATCTAAAGTTCATTTACAAATTCTTTAAAAATCAATTTTCAAATGAATGAAAACTCACAGCTAAGAATCCAACATTGAGTTCTTTAGCAGAATAACCTCGTTGTAAATTGCGACGAACATATTTGTCATAATCCCTGATAATGCGACAAACCACATCACTTGTCGACACCCCTTCAGTGCGATTCGTTTCGAGAAACATTCCTTCACGACGAAATTTCTCATAGAGATCTTCTGAACCAGGTGCTGAATAGGGAATCGCATCGTGCGCTATGAAATCAATCTGAATTAATTTTCATTCACCACATTTTACATATGAACTCAAGTTGGTCAATCCTTTTAGTCCCATAAATGAACAATTTGAGCATTATATACTTCCACAAAACCGACTACTACATCCAATCTCATCAAGGCCATAATACATGATAATAATGGCAATAATAGAAGGACACCTCGTTGATTAAACCAAGGTAACAAACTCATCTATACATCCAGTGCTGTCCACCTCGAAAAACACTCATAAAGACATGTTCCATAAATATTTCAGTCCCACCCACATTACACGATGAATAAGAGAAACATAAACGAATACCTTAAGCTCCTTCAAGAACTCAACGGTACAGTAGAATGGTGTATCTCTGTACACTTCGTCGACATATCTGCAATGTCTAACCGCTTCATAACGTTCGTCTTCCGATGTTACAGTTCTACCCTTATATTTATGTGTACTTGCATCACCACAAACTACAATTATTCGAATATCACATAATCTTAACATTGATTGTGAATGTGCAATGATCTGACAAAATGAGAATGAAAATAAGAAGAAACCTCCAACAATCAGATACACATTTGGAAATGCATTCTTTGCTTGTCTCAATTGATTGGCATGTCCAAAATGAAATAAATCATAGATGCCATCAGCAAAAACACGTACTGGACGACCAGCTGTAAACAAAGTTGATGAACATAACCCTATGCACAGTCAATTATCTGATGGAGGAACATCTGATGGTAAGTAAAAAACCGAGTAATCGGAAACTGATCGAAGACTGCATGATGCCATGATTGAAGTGCATCTGGATATACTCACAAAAAGCAGCTGAACAATATCTGATAATAATGCAGATCCGTTTACATCTCATTTACAGTTTGCACACACTGATAAAATGAAGGTTGGTTTTTGTTTTCAATGACAAACAAACATTCGGCCAGCGATATTGAGGGACATAAACGTTCCATACGCAAAAACGATAGCAATAAATGAATAACACCGACCAGTATTATTTCTAGCCATTTCGAGAGTTATTTTTTTGGAATAATCAACTCGATTACGTTCTGCAATCGCAATTTCATCATCACTATATGGGGCTGGACTTTTACATGCAAGTTGTAAGGGTGACTCGTACGTATTACCCTATAATATACATTCAACTGCATTTTAATAATTCAAATTAAAATATAATAACACTCTCTTGGATTTGATAATATTACGAGATGCGTTCAGTTATTACTTCGGCATCATAGATCGTATTATGATATGCAAACACTGCATATTACGAACAGTAAGCCAACAAAATAATTTTGAATACGAAAATGAGGATCAAAACAAATGAACAAATATGTAATAGATATACAGTTCAACCCAAGACGTAATTTGGTACCAAAAGTCAGAATTTTAATCGGGAAGCAATGGGAGTCGAACTAAATGTGTGAATAATAGGAGGCATTCTCCCGCATATATCTACGGGTATTCCCTTGCTACGACCCGTAACACGATTACATTCAATATAATGTAATCACTGTAAACAGGAGAAATTTTTTGATATTACATGAAAATACGAAATCTGGTTTTCCAGACATTCTTAGAAAATTTAACTACTACAAGTCAGATAATATCAAATGAAACTGAAATGGGCATAATGGGAACACACCAGGTAATCATTCACAACAACATTGGAGTCGGAATTCCCATTCGAATGCCTTCTTTTGCGGATAATGCCATCAGCCTCTTCGATCGGCTGCGTTGATGCGCGTTTTCTTAACTGGGCAGACATCTGGAATTTAATTTGAAACGTTCATTTATAATATCAATTTTACATTAACTTCATTCCGCTCTCAACATATTTTATGTGCTTTAAAAGCACTTGGCAACATCAGCTTCGGAATTTCAGTTTTGTATGAATGAATTCTTCGAAAAATTGCGCATCCATAATTGTGAAATAACGCCGCATCTCCCTTTTACCAATCAACCTTTCTATCAATTAATTTGCCTCTATTTATTTATCAATTAAAAGAACCTCTCTTTAAAGCGAGCACTTATCAATTAACAAAACTCTTTGCAACAAACAAAACGGCCAGCTTTGATCTAACCTTCCATGCATATTACTAAATTGTGCAACAATGAAATTCAGAAACAGAACAACAAATATCCGAACAAAACAAAATGGATGAGACAACAAACTATTTTGAGAAGGCTAACAAAATCAGATGGTGCAACAAAATCAATCATCGTTGACCAACTGAAAGATGAACGAGACATGCCATTTATGCTCACTCAAATGATAACAATAACAAGGTATTTCACTCAAGATGAAGCTGCTACGGGGAAGGGAAGCAGCCAACAAACAACATGACCACTGACCACGTGTCTGTAGTGCTACTAATCGGTCAGTCTGCAAGCCGAACATAAGGCTGTTTCTTTCAATATGTCCATAAACTCTTCCAGTGACATACGAGCTGGAAACAATATTAAACCAGGTAATTGCTTCACAGGTTTTGCAGAAGGCGACCGCCACAAAAATTTTAAACCACCCCAAAAGTCACTTCGATAGAATGCACTTTGAATTTAACCAAAAACAAGAATTCGACCGAATCTAATGTCATCTAATCCAAATATATTCATCTCTATTTCAGAATTGTTCTAATGCAGTAGTCAGCACCAACGTATTTCAATATGGTTCAGTCCTAATCTTTCCATCATGGCTGTTGTCCGTTACATAATAGTGCAAAACTGGAAAATAACAAAACAAAAACGTCTCGTTCACGCGACCCATAAAAATTTCGTAAAAATCCCGACTGATCTTTCTGACCGATGATACTCGATAAGTCTTTTTACATACAAGAATTATACAGTAGAGGTGAACATGTTAATACATCTATGAATTAACTTGTTCGTTGCTGCTTACTGTTAGATGTATATTTTCGAAAGTCTCTTTACTTCATTTCAAAATACAATTGAAATAAGCAAATTCAATAGTAAAATCTTTCAAGACGAAATCTCGTTGACCTCAATCACTACTTTAAGCAATGCAGAAGGAAATGATAGCAATTAACTTCAGGCGTTTACATGGTGGCAATTAACAACAAAACAAGTATTGTTTGCTGGCTGCTCCGGTTCAATTCCTTCTTCAAGGTTTCTAAATCAAAACTGGGAGGACATCCAAATCATTTCCAACCATTAAACTACCAAAGAATAAATTGGCGAACCATCGCTGTACTCTCACAATTGCTCTCACCATGAAATACATAAATGAATCTAATGACAACTCTAATATAAAAACGGAAATGTGATGGTCACAAATGACAGAATCAATCAGATTCAAATAAGTAGTCGAGTCAAAAGAAATATACGATAATACATTGGTGTGCTGAAGGAGTTGATAAACGTGGAGTTGATGAAATAAGACCTGTAAGATGAAGCTTTAACAATGAATATCCCAAGATCTCACTGAACAGCGTACGTTTCAACCAACACGAAAGCAAATAATGCGAATGATTTGTTTATCAAAACACAGCCACTGTTTAGACTATCAACACCCGAACATATCATTTTAAAATGCGTCACGTTATGTGTTTGCCAACAGCTCAACAGGCATAGATGAGTGCGAACACATTAACATATAGAGTGCGAACGCATTTATCGTGCTAGGGTTTCTTTCACCAAACATTCGCTGTTTAAAGCACTGAAATATCAGTGGCTTAGAACGTAGCCTTCTGATAACCGGATTAAACCTCGTGATAGCGAGATAATATTCAATAAAATGCCGATAAAGCAGTTCATCGACTATGTGGGGTTGATTTTCAAAAATTTCACTGAGAAACATCAAAATATGAACGTTTCTTGAACCAAATTCTGTTCCAGCCTGCACAGTTTGTTATCTTTGGTACGTTGGTATTATTACTTTAGTATTTATATGATATTTTTATCTCTCCTGTCGGAATTCACAAAATTTGAAGTTCATGAATTTTTTTTCATCAGTTCATCTGATCTCTCCCCTCGCATTCCTATTACATTCGGACCATCGATAAATATAACTTCCGTATTTCGAAACCCCTTAAGTGAGTCGACCGATTGGTTATCAGAAGGTTCAACGTCAGTTTAACAAAACTGTCAATTGTGTGGCTCGCTGGAATTATAGAACTGCATGAATCGCCATCTGTATAGTTTGCCGGGGTATTCTTCAATAAAGTCTGATTAAAGAATTACTTCATCTGTTGTCGCCAACAAAGGTTGAGTTGAAGTGAAAGAGTGGTAGTGTTACCTGTGGTAGTGAGCGTGTTGATCGAAGACTCGAAACTGAGTTCAGTAATCTTGACGGCTCTTTGAACTGACTCTGAGTAATATCGTCGTCGAGGTGGTGATGCAAATATCGAGAAAAAATCATTGGGAACAGAGCCTAACGCGTACACTCTAACCACTTGTTGTTGATGAATAAAACTACGAAATGAGAATTAAAACTCGGTAACAATGATCGAAATAAGTGATTTACGACGAAGGCGTGTTTAATCGTTTCTTATCAGTGGTCATTTCAATCGCACCATTTAATCGTGAATGACTACAGGTGTAAAGTTCTTCTCTTTTCAAAAACACATCCTTTTTATAGACACAGTTTATGACGAATGACTTTGTATTTACTTAATTATGATTGACACAGCAATGAATAGTGAAAAGCGATGAGAAATAACAAATCAGATCAATCATTTAAATTTAGAACAATGATAAAAAAGTTCAATCAATCAAATGAGTGTAAATAAGGAGAATTAATGTGACGAATGAATGAATTAATGTCATCTGAAAATTGGCAATGAATAAAATTGAATGAACAAATAAATACGTACTCACCTAATCAATAAGAAAACAAATGATAAAGAGTAATTACCTAAGAGATGCTGAATGTTACAAAAGCCTTACATTCAAGATTTACGCTTTATTGTATTACACCTAATGAATTGTCTAAATTTGATGCGAAAACACTAATCAGTTGGTAATTTTGTGTAATAAAATAAATCAAACCGAAGTCAGTTCAGTCATTGAATTCAACATGTTTGGTTCATCTAATATAGCAGTTTTATATGAATGACATTGGTATATCACTAGGTTTCGACAAAACCTTTTCCTATGAGCGAGAATCGAACGTGCCACGTAACATTCCTGGTCGAGCGCTATAATTCTCAGCTAACAGTTTATAGTTTATAGCTAACAGTTTACAGTCTGATGCAATCCAATGAAGAAAGTCATTCGATGTTTGTTCGAGATCGATACGGATCATACCACCCCTCATACCGCTGCGTTTTAGTACTGCTGAGGAAAAGAAACATATGGTTTATCGATTGAATGCGATCGTAATTCCAAAATGCAAACAACACGATTCACCTCATTATTGTGTTGAAAATTCTGTCTGAACATCAGATTCATTTTCAACGTGATTCAGCATTTTACATTGGCAAAACAAAATGATTCATGGTGAATAAATTTCATTCAATAGCGAACAATACAGTGCAATGATAACTTTTTAAATTATTTTGACTAAGAAATGAATGATATTTGAAACTGTAAAAGGCACGTTAAGATGGCATTTTTTCGCGTCGAAAATCAGTCGTACACATAAAATTTCTTGCCATATGCTTACGTAAATCAATTATCATCAAATCTCATCTAATGTTGACCCTAGATAATTGCGATAATCAACTGTCTATAAATATCTGTTATGATTCTTAATTACTCATCCAATTCCTCTCTTGTCTTCACCCAATCGTCCATCAATTACAACCACCTCATCAATGCTATTACACAATCAGATTGCTACAACAATATGTGCTTACCAAAACCTTTTCTGATAATAGATGTGTCTCATCAGTTGCAATACAGTCGCTTCTCGAATTTCTTCTGGAGTAGGTGATGACAGTGGGATGGTTTTTGCTTATGTGTAGTGAAAAAGAGGATGCAAGAATTTGCATTGATCATCANATCATATCACTTCAAATCCACATCGCATGTTTATTATGGAGTTGCAGTATTTTGGTATCAATTAATTCATGTTTTCATTCCATCCTTTCCACAAAATCATTCAAATTCGAACTATTCGACGTCTGAAATATTTAAGATGAAATTGTACTGTATCGAATTAAATTACACTGCACGCAACAAAATGGACGAACTGATAACAGTTCAACGCTCATGTGACAACGGCATGATCCGATCACTGACTAAGAACTTCGTAAAGGAACTTGTTGTTCGGTCGCGAATCTGCCGAAATTCAAGTGGTAACTTCTTCAATCTTAATCGTGGTGCAGTGCGAATATCTCTATTAAAAGCCTTAAGAAATAACATAATGAGGAGAAGTATTTTTGATTTTGACTATATTGTCATGCTTCTAGTATTATCTCAATATTGTTATCTTACTCATTGCTATTAACGTCACGGCTGATTCCATGTTCATTTTAGTTGACATGTTTGACTCGGATTTTGTTATCGCCATACGCTGTTCCCATGCATGATCGATTTATTCGCAACATGAGAAGAATACAAACGGAAAACAGACATTGTAGCTTCGGTTAATGAGACTCTTTGAAGGTAAAGCTGATATTCGAGAATGATTCAGTTTCGGTGTAAGCGAGAGCTGAGCTTTCCTGAATGGATCTCATGAATAGGCCTGAAATTACAACAGATAGAAATTAGTTTGCAACTCTGAATTGTTTATCTTCATTTTTATTAATTCTTCACCTTCCCCAGAAACCAATTCAAACTTTGAATTCGAGACATGCCAAGAAAATA